AACTTCTTGGATCAGAGTCTCCTGCGAGCCACTCTCGCCGGAAGCTCGAGTTCCTCTAAAGGCGCTTTGGGATCTAAAGATGACATTCAAAGTGACTTGGTTCATTGAAGCTGCTTGACCTGAAGGTACCTACCGCACCTACCGCCTCGCCTGTTGTCCAATGCCATCACCTCTTTGTGTCCAGCGTCAAACGGTCAAATGCTTGAGTGGGCTGGGCTGTTCATCCTCCGCAAAAGAAAAAGAAGACAAGCTGTCTGCTAGGTGCTGTCGCAATGAAACCAAGGAGCAAGCAAGAACCAAGCCAAGTCATTGAGGCATTGACTGTTGCTGCTGTTTCTTCCCGGTCCATCTGGGTCCATTAAAGTGACATCAAAAAAAAACAAAGCCAAATGCTTCCAGGGGCTTCCCACTCCCAACTTGTTTCAGACCCCAAAATGCCATGACTTTCAGCTTCGCTCGATTCGCTCCTTCTCCTTCTCGAGTTGGACCACTTGCGTCCGGAAAGCCTGGCAGCTCGAAGCGGGCCACCCGGGGTCCAAGAAAGAAGCGCCATCTGGGCAACGGCACTGCTGAAGAACCTGTGCTTTGACCAGGCCTCAGCGTCCTTGTAAGCCTCCGTGGGAAGGACTGGAGGCACATAGACGCCCTGGCAACGCCAGGAAAATAGAAACTGACGGCCAAACATCAGCTGGCAGCTGATGGCAACGGGCCCAAAAAGCCAAACAGGACCCATCGTGGAAAGCAAAAAGGTGCCCGTTGTTTAAACACCTCTGTGGCACACGTCAATGCCACAGCTAGACATAAGGAAGCGAAGAGAAAGCCTTATTTGGACGTGGGTTGGCAAAAATAGGGCCTCTTTGGGGACGCAGCCAGGAGGGACTCTGACGGCCATCATGACCTCCTGTTGATAGGCCCCAAAAAAATTCTCGTGGCATGTGACAATGCCTTGGTCGCAGTAAACCACACACTCCAAAGATCGTTCTTTGTTGCCGTGAATAAAGCAAAGATCTGGATTTTGCCTCAAACAGTGCCGAGCACCATCCTGATATCAAAAATGCCGGGTACATGCCCCCGCCTTCTCGCCATCCTCCCCCTCCTCCTCCTCCCCCTGCCAAGAAATAGGAAGATGGGACGCTGAGCGGGCATCAGTCTGGCCTCGTCAAAGCCGCCGAGCTGCTTCACAACCTGGCACCCCAAAGTGCTTGCATCCACAGATCTGCCCGTGAGGTGGGCTTCGTTGTCAAGTTAACCTGACCCAGAAACCCTGGCGGCGTACCGGGAGGATGTACCATCGCCAGGCCGGCAGAACCAGCGTGGCCTCGAGATGTTCCATAGCCGGACCTCTTCTATCCGGGGATTTGGCACCTGATTTCTGGGAAATCAAATTAAATGATGATTGTATATTTCTATGGGCTGAGGTCATTGGAGCTCCTTCTGCCGCATAGTTCTGATGTTCTCTGCTTGGAGAGGCGGGGGAGGTTACCCTCTAAAGATTTCACAAATGTACGCTCCGGGATCCGGTCAAGCATTGCGGCGAGGATGATCTTGATGAAAGACGGGGGCAAAATGGAGCCCTCCTGCGCCACTGGCCCGGGGGGAGGGGGCCTCTCAACATGCGCGATTTGCTTCTGGCTTCCGAAAACGGACTGCCTGAAAACGGGAGATGAAATCTGCATGCTCGTCTTACCTTCAATTGCCTGAATCGGTATTGTGTTTGGTACTGAATATCTGCAACCTGTGTTCTTCAAGTTCTTGTTTGAATGGTCAGAGACCCTTTTGTGCGGGAACAGAACCATTTGACTAAGGAACTGAACTAGCGCGTCGGTGAAAATCCCCCTCTTTCCAGGAAGACTTGGAACCCTGAGTGGTTGCAAACTGCCGAAAACCCTCGAAAAAGAAGCAACGGACCAAGACAGATTGCGCTTGTCTCAATGGTTGGAGTTCCGTCTTGGTTTCCCAAAACTAGACAAAAAGGGGAGAAGCCTGGTGCTCCCCTTGTCTGCTTCTGGCAGTTCCCTTCCTCCTTCTCTTGATGCGTGATTAGCTTTCCTCCGAAGGCAATCCTTCAGAACCAAGCAAAAACATGAGGGAAGCAGAATACAGGTTGGCGCCCTTTTGGTTTCGCGGTATAACCAACGTTAAAACGAATGCAAAAAAAAAGGTTTCCCGTCTATGAAAAGCGCACAGATCGATCCCCCGTGGCTCCTTCTCCGCGGTCTCATCTACTGCCACGTCGAAGCACTTCTCCCAGGCGAAGCCGATCAGCACTCCAATGGCCTAGGCTTGTTCCTGGAATTGGGATCTAAGGCATTCCAGGGGTTCCCCCCTTTCTTTCCAGGGATCCTTCTTTCTAGAAAACCTCCAGAAACCTAGGGTTTTAAGGCTGGCTTTCGAGAAGAACGATGGTTGAAAAGAATGGGGAAACAACCTCTAGAAGCATGGCCTTTCCGCCATCCTTCTGATTCACATCGAACCACCTCTCCCATTTTTGGGGTTCGTTTGAAACCCTCTCGGGCACCCGCCATCACAGTGGATCGCATCGCGGTCCGTTTCCTCGGGACGAAATTGTTTGGTTTGTCTTCGAATCGGGGAAAGTTCCCCTTTAACTCCAAAAGGGGGTTACTCTCAACAAGGACACGCACATGTCCAAAGTCGCAAAGCAGGCCCAAAGCTGTGCCGCCTGCCTCTTGTGCATCGCCTCGGAGCCTTCCCGTCTGAAGCCGCCGGTGGGGGTCCTGGCGGCTCGCTTTGGCGCAGGTCTCGACGCTTGGGTTGAGCCAGGCGGCTGGTGGAGGACCTCATCCTCCTTGTCGGCCTGTCGATCAGCGGATACATTGGTCTGCAGAACTCGGAACTCGGATCCCAACCTGCTTGTCAAGGAGGTACATGACCTCCACAACACGAGCGGCAAAGTGCCTTTCGGAGGGGATCTCTCATGTTTGAGCGACTTTAAGGTTGAAATCGTCAATCCCTAGTTCAGGAAACACACATCTCCAGAAGCTGGTGGAACTTCAAGCTCTGGCTTCGTGGCACCTTGAATTTGGCTTTTGCCTCTGAATAGGTCTCTTGGTGGGCATCACGTTCATGTTGTTTTCTGTACACCCCAACCAATTTGTTTGGGATGCCAATAGGTGCAACAGTCCGGGCGGCTCCCAAGCGCCAGGCCACGAAAGACAGCAGAGTGACTATGCAGGCAGTGACCACCTGGCAACTGAGCCAAGGAAAGCGCTTTGGGCAGCCTCCTTCAGTACCGGACTTGATTGTAGTTCTCCCCCCAAACCAGAACCCAACCCCCCGATGTTCGAACGGGGTATGCAGCTGGGACACATCTCCGAGTACCCCGAAGTCAGCTCCGCCCAGCCCCATCGCCGTCCTGCAGTGCTCAGACTCGTGCCACTGCCCTGAACTTCTTGCTGGAAGCGAAGCACAGGCGGCGGTCAGGATGGCATCAACGCTGAACATGATGAGCCAGGAGGAGGAAAAGTCGCAGACCTCCGCTGAGTGCGCGACTTTTCAAACTTCCGCTGCGCTGAGTGCCCGACCAATCCCACCCACACTCGACCGCGCCACATCTCCCTGAGGCAAGGGCGAACTGATTCAAGAACGCGCCCACGGAACAAAACTGAGAGCCCCGCGTGGTGTAAAGCGTGTGCAGGTACGAGAGGTAGCCAATCCTAAGAGCCCGAAGATAGTTTGCTTCCCAAGAGGACATGACTAAGCTCTGGGTGGTTGTGAAGAATCTGGGGACTCCAAAATACACCGGCAGCCAGCACTGGCGCTCTTGCTTCCCCCTCTGAAACGGTCAGGGTCTCCCTATGGTTTCCCTTTCCAATTGGAGGACACCCCATGACAGGGACACCAGCTGTGCAGCCAATCTTCGCTAGGCCGATGAATAGTTGCAGAAAGGCCTCGTCGAAACACCGCTCCCCAACACCAAGGGTGAATTTCAAGAGGGGCACCATGCAAAAATTCAATTCGAATTCCACATACTTCCGCTGGACGCGTTCAATTCGGACGAATTCCATTGGTGACCAATTCGGACGCCTGGGCGTAGTCCACCCTGGTGCCGTTGGGCAGGTCGCCCTCCTCATTTGGGAGGGCGCCGCTGATCCAGAAGCGAATGGTCCTGGCTACGTTGTAGTTTTGCCCCAGACCCGCCGTTCCCTGTACCACGGTGTTTCGAAACCAATCCAAAGATCCTTCAAGCATCCAGCGCCCCAAAAAGAACAAAGACACCCAAGACCCGGAGAAATCGGGGATTCGTCTTCGCCAACTCTTGCAGGCATGGCTGGACGACCAGGAAGGAACAGGTGAGAGCCATCACGTCATTCTCTGTCTCCTTCGGACGTCGACTTTGGGCCCGCCCAGGCCCGAAAGAGCCACTGAGCCATTCCCTGGGAACAAAACATCAAACATCCCTCTGTGTGTGTGTGTGTGTGTGCGTCAATCTCTATCAAAAAAAAGCAATACTTTGGAATTGGCAGAATCTATGGCAACTTCGCACCCAGCTCAGATTCAAGCAGGCACCAACTCATTTGCTCCTTTTCGAAAGTATGCCCGCTAAAGCTCCAAAGATGACGTTTGTGCTTGGGCCAGAGGCATGGTGCTGCATGGCTCTTTCACAAGGCTTCGCACTTGGGGCAACACAAGCAGACCGCTCCTCTGTCGCCTCGTCCCATGCTTTCTCCATCTCGTCCTGCAATGGTACGCTCACCATTGGGATTTGCTCTGGTTTAGTTGATCCTGGTTGCTTGGACTCCTCCTCACCATCGTCCGACAAGGAGACCCACATCCGGACTTTGTCCTGGCCCCGCCCCACTCCCAAGCAACGGAATCTGAGAGTCTGCCAGTCAGTCCGTGACTGTGAAAAGGCCCCACAGCCCAAGGAACCTCGGAGGGCATCTCAACAAATCCAAGGCTGTCCGCGGTTCCGCTGTCCGCGACCGCTCGCACTAAGTATCTAGTTATTGCCTGTCGAGGTGCGCCATGGGCAAAATCAG